GCCATCGCCTCCTGTTCCACACCGTAGGCCTTGAGGTAGTCAGAGAAATGCGCGAGGTACTCCTTCCCGCGGTCCACCTGAATCGAGTTCGGGAGGCCAGCCCACGATGACCAAGCGGTGAGGAAGTGGCGCAGAACGGCCTTGGTAGAGGGAGGCCCTTGGTTGCTTCCCAAACAGCTCACAACTTGAAACCCTGTGGCGTCACAGACCACGTTGAGGAAACCGAACAGCTGGCCTTTGATGTCCTTGGCGTAAAAGACATCTATCTGGAGGTGGTTGTTGAAGATGTACTTGTTCGGGAGTCGCACTGGCTTTGGCCGCTTCCTCCGGTGAGTCTCTCCACAGGAGTCGCAGGACATAAAATCAACAGCTCGAATCGCTTCTGGCCTCGCACCTTGCCTTCGGAGAAGCCGCTGCAAGGTGACGTTTGTTGGGTGTCCGAAGTTCACGTGGAGGTCTCGGAGGCATTTCCTCAGGTCAGGGTCCACCCGGAGCCAGTATTTGCGACGATCGGCCTCCGTCACGCTCAGGATGGGATCCAACTTGGCTGCTTCGATTGCCCTTTGGCTTGCGTGATCCCCAGGGCTGGCTCGAAGGGGCGGTGGTAGTGAATCACGTAGCTCTGGAGAAAGAAGCTCGGCAAGAGTTCGCTCATCAGCATCTTCGGGAAGCTCGGGCTGCATAGGTTCGTCAGGCCGGATATAGACGGGGGGCGCGTCGAACTGGTCGATAAGTACTGGACCCCGTCTCCTCCGTTTTGGCTGGCCCTGGCCTTGCCCCTCGGAGGGGTAAGCCTCATGGATTTCCATCACAATGGCTTCCTCGGCGGCTGCTTGTTGTACCACAGCCTCGCGCAGCTTCTCTGAGAGTCCCCCTTCCCACGCTTCACTGGCTTCCGAAGGGCTTGCCACGCAGGAGCAGGTGATGGTAGAGAAGGTAGATTCAGCAGCCAACATAGTAGTAAGCAGGGTCGTCGGGCAACAGGGGCCTCCTTCGGCACAAGGACAAAAGTTCACCCGAAGAAGAGCACCGCGCCGAACCATGTCCCGCAAGTGCTCGGTCTCTGGGCTGTCAAGCCAGTCCTTGTCAGGGGGCTCCTC